GGTGGATCACGGCGGGCAAGGCAGCTTTTTATCACCTGCACCGCACCCACGCCAAGTTGGGCAAACAAGATGGCCGAGCCAGGAAACCCTATCATCCCCGCAGCTGAACTTTTGATCTCCGCAGCTTCAGCGTACGGCTGTCTTTACCACGAGGCAAGAAAGCTATGGAACTCAACTAATTGACTTTAAAATCTGCTGAATAGGGAAATATAATTTTTACAAGTATTGGTGGGGGGAAAAAAAACAGGAAAAGGAGGTAGAGGAGTAATCAACCTGCCCCAGGGGATGGAGTCATGGGCTCGTACTGCGTAACAAGTCCCTCTTTCCTCTCTTCTCAGGTCACGGGAGGTTTGTAGATCTCAAGCTGAAGAGCTGGTTCAGGAGAGTCCTGCGGTCCAAACGCCTCGCAGGGGATGAAAGCAACCGAGTGGGTCCCGCAGAGAAACCCTGTGGTGACTCGGCAGGCAACTGGGGAGTCTTTTGGCTTGAAGAATGGAAAGCGATGGGAGGAGGAGGAAGGGAGGGAAGCCTAGGAACAGGATGGACGCAACCGCCGTGAATCACGGGCAGGTAGATGACAACCTTCACAGGGTGTAGCCGGGGAGGCACCACATCCAGGGCCAGGCCACTCCGAGGCAAAAAGAGTTTCCTCTAAACAGTTTTGAAAGCTTGAACCCCAAATGGGAAAAGGAAATTGCTGCTGGAGTTCGGCAAAGTCATCTCGCCTCGTTGAGATTCCACAGGTGGGTGCCAAGGGAAGAAAGGCAGGGGGGGAAGAGAGAGATGGAAGTGGCACCGTGGTTCAGAGCACCCCGTCCTCTGCCCAGCCACACGAGCAGGTTTAAAATGCCACTTAATCCCATCCACATTTTTGCTGTGGAGCAGCACGTGTTCCCCCCAGTTATAAAATTTATCTGATACAATGAAGATCATAATAAAAAAAAGCTTGCCTGTGCACAGTGTAGCACAACGTGAAATAATAACTGCACACTTGAACTAATAACTACAGTGAAATAACGCACTGAGGGATCTAGGTCTCATCCTCAGTCACTTCTGAGCTGCCACCAAGATAAATTAAATCCGGATAAGGCTAGCTTGAAAATCGCCGCTAAATTAGAGACCAATCTTAATTTGTTACAAATATTCAAGGTTCCACAGCTACCACAGGCCCCGTAAACTTCCTCGGAAAGGCTGCAGCTCGCTGACAAATGGTGAACTCTTTTCAAAGCGTTGCACGAGTAGTGGTTCAATGGTGTGTTCAGTGGGGGAGGGGACCAGAGCTGCGTGAACCCACAAAAGAGCCGTGTTCTGGGGGTGCAACACTCCAGTCCAGAGAAACAGCCCCTCAGTGTTAATCCCAATGACAACATCTGAAATGCTTCTTTAGACCAGACCCGGTTTGAGGACAGGGAGAAGTTTGGGAGTTGCTAAACCCTCCGAAACGTGGTTATAAACTAAATCAGTGCAACGCTGTGAGCTGGGCGGGGTGCAGGCGGGACTGACAGCTTAATGCTCATGACTGGTCCTAGGAGCTGGTGTGCCCACTCCACTACTACCCTGCAATTAGAAAACTGACCTTGGAGCTCGGCATCGAGGGCAGACAACGCCACAGATGACAAAAAATCCACGGGGCAGCGCTGGGGAAGGGAAACACCCTGCCCAGAGCAGCGAGCAGGGAGAAAGTGGGGCTGGGGCCATGATGCACAAAGGAGCCGGGCGAGTCTATTGTTCAGTGTCCGAGCAACCCCCTTCCACGGCCCTACGCTCCTCAGCAGGACCTTACAAGGTTTTTTTCCCCCCTTACCAGCATTATTTACTCGGTAAAACAAGACCCTAGTTACGTGCCGCAACGGCTCAGCGGCCCCTTTCCTTGAGCGATACGCGAACGCAGGCTCTGCTCCGGTCACGCCGCCTCAAACCCCACTTCAGCCTCTCCTCCCTTAAAAATCGAGCACGGCTTTTGCAGTTTGGTAGGAGCTGCCACGCAGAACGAGCGGGGAACACGTCTTTTCTCCTCGCATCCGCCGTCTCCCTTCTTGCTCAGCTCATCGCTGCCCCAGGTTCGTGGCAGAGTCCTTTTACACAGAAAGCAAAGGTGTAAGCGTCCGCCTTCCTCCACTTCCTCGTGCTTGTGAATGTGGAAAATGCTCGCCAGCTCCTTGAGATCTGGGAAGACGTTCAACGCTGGGGAGCCAGCGTCGCGTGGAGGTGACCAGGGACGAACGGCAGAATTTAGGCTCCCTCCAATAACCGCAGTCGGTGTCAATCAAGACGGAACAACGGATCTATAAGGGCTCACAGGGACTCAAATCCAACCTGTTTTACCCATGGCCACTGCACACGGATTTACCTGGCCAAACATTCATGGATTTTTAAGCCATAAAGAGGACAAGCTTTTCCTCCAAAGAATCGCGTTCTTACCTGAAAGCACGACCACCGCCTCCAAACCTGACCTTCAGCATTGGTCTCCCCACCGCAGGAAACCAGCGCAGCTATCCAGCAAGGAGATCCCCATCTCTGGAGGGCAGAGGTGCTTTCCAAGCCAGAAAAGCAGCAGCCAAGCGCCTTGCAGGAAAGTTTCAGACCAGCGTTACAACCCCAGAGTCCATCACAGACGGCTCGCAACACTGGCTCCTGGGAGGCAAGTTTGCAAGAGCTCCGACGAGCCCGTCCCTCCTTGGGTCCTCCCCTAGGCGGGTCCTTGCAGGAGCCCCAGGAGCTGTAACCCGAGTCCTCGCCGCCTTCATGGAGGCCAAAGCCACTTTCCAAGCTCCTCCGGTTCCGACTGGAACGAGTTCGCTCCGATCCGCCAGCATCGCCCTCCTGGACCGTTCCTGCCGGCGAGGTGTTGCTCCGTGGGAACTGGCACCCTCTGGTCCCAACGCTCCCACCGCCCCACGGCGAGGGTTCGTTTGTGCTCGCCTGCTGCCCCAGAACCATCACCTCACTGCAGGAGGAGGGAAGATCTTCCAGATCAGTTTTGGGTCGGAAGGGACCCTTAGAGGTCATCTAGTCCAACCCCCCGCAGCGAGTGGGGACACCGCTAATGGGATCGGGGTGCTCAGAGCCCCAACAAACCTGGGCTTGAATGTTTCCAGGGATGGGACCTCCACCACCTGGAGTGACCCCGTGATGGAGGAGCTGTCTCACCTCAGCACCAGAAAGCTGTTTCCCTAGCCTACAGCTACAGCACCCACACCGCAGGTCAGGATGCAGCCCCCTGCATCCACCGTACCACTCTTGAACCTGAAACGGGTAAGAAGCAAGGAGACGATGTCATGAGACACAGGAAACTGAGGCACGGACTGGAAAGGATTTTCCTGCTGCAGGTCTGTGTCACTGCTAGAAAGGGAGCTCACATTTCCGATGCATCAGTCCAGCCAGTCCGTGACACGTCGGAGATATCTGACCTGCTAAGCACTGTACAAATACCAACAGCACACTTCATGCTAACAAGCCATAGCTGTATAAATTATGAAGGAAAAAAAAAACCACCGACTCCGCAACCTCCATCCATTTTGATTTATGCCTGCTGCTCTTGCAAAAGGCCCCGGCAATTTCCATTCGACTCCAATTTCCTCAGCTCCCACCCTCCTCCTGCCATCACCCGCTCCCCAAGGAACAATGTTATCACCAAGCACAGCCCTAATCCGCTGCCAGATACACCTCTGAGCTTGGCAGAGCCGGGTAATGTTGTGTAAAATAAGGAGGAGATTTGCAAAGAGCCCAGCACAAAGGGGAGAGATAGGGCCAGAGATCCCAGGACACATTAACAGAGCAGGGCAGCCAATAAATGGAAACGGGAGTGACACTGGCAGAAGGACAGATGGATGAACAGGACAGGCTGCGGCAGCAGAGGGGCAAATCCAACTGCTGCAAAACCTGAAAATTCTGAATTCTACCCCTACATCCTGCAGCCTCCAAAGGCCAAAATCACGCCGGAAAGCTCACAGGGGCTACAAAAACCTCAAAAAAATACCTGTCGTTGCCACTTGCTTACAAATTCTGCACCTTCAGACCGGTGATGCCACCCACGAGACAGTACCAGGCACAGAGGCTTTCCACAAAATTTCCATATGCGTTTTTAGAAGTAGCAAGAAGTTGCTGTAATGGGTATCCCAGAGTCCTTTCTTG